GAAACGCAAAAATTGCAAAATTTAATCCCAGCGAAATACATGGCTTATACAGTATCAGTTATATTAATAGCATTATGATTGCTATGACGCTGTAACTGTCACTAACTGATATAGTGAAACTACTTTCTGTAGCAACTGTTTATAACAGCAAACCTTTTGTACGCTTTGTTCATTTAGTATAACTTTACTTTCATTGTTAAGTTCACTGGCAAATTGATTTGTGATGATTCTTCTCCTGTGTATTCTTCTTCATAGTGTATCATCTCTTAATATCAGGATTGATGGAGATAATGGAATTGATTCAATTGAGTGTCTTACAGAACAGCCTCAGTCTTCCTGTCAGTCATTGAAGTATGTAGCTGATACTATTAACAACACTGGTAACCTCACAATAGAGATCATCAGTCCTACTCTTAGTCTACAAGGTAGTGTTATATTCACTGATATCAATGGACTAACTATCAATGGACAAGGTACTAGCATTAGCTGTAGGAATGAATCAATACCTTATGGTAACTCTGGTATAGTTTTTGATACATGCAGTAATGTTACACTCATTAGTTTTACTATTGAACACTGTGGGTTGCTCTATAAAAATGAACTAAAGTATTATGGACGTCAAAGTGTCCTCTTCTATAATTGCAAAAATTTTAATATTTTAAAAGTCAATTTCAGTGACAATAATGGTTATGGGCTGGTACTCTATGACAGCAGTGATGGTAGTATTCAGCAAAATATTTTTGCTAATAATAGTGTAAAACAATCTGATCTTTCAATAGCTGAGAAATCAAACGCAACAGGAGGAGGCCTGCACATAATATTTCAATATAATCCTCATAATAATAAAATTGCAATTAATGCTAGTCAGTTTATTAATAATTCTGCTACAACCATTGGTGGTGCATTATATATGGAGGTGGATCATTGTGCAAACTTTAATTTGTACATCACTACTTCTAACTTCATTGGTAATAGAGCTGGTACTGCTGGTGGAGCCATTGGGTTTATAGTACATAGAGGTAAATGCAATTACCAGGGTGCAATACCATATGGATTTCGCATTTCTTTAATTAGCTGTAATATCACCAATAACATGGCAAAGATTGGTGGAGGAGTTACAATCCAAATTGTTCATTATGAGGCTCCAGGTCACATATATATTAACAAAAGAGAAATTTTTTTTCAGTTTTGTTATTTTACTGGCAACAAAGGTATGGTTAGCTCAGCAGTAGATATCAACGGCAAAATTCAAAAAGTTGATCAGTCCGCTCTTGAAACCTATGTAAGATTTCAATATTGTTATTTCATTGATAATATTGCAGGAATAGGTATCTATCAAAAGGAATTTAGAGGTAAGCTGTTTAAAGCAACATTATATGCTACTGATACTACTGTTTATTTGGTTACAAAAATTCTATTTGCCAATAACACTGGTACTGCTTTATATGCAGTCAACACTCGTGTACGTATGTCAAGCCATTTCAAAATTAATTTCCAAAACAACACTGGGGATCAAGGTGGTGCTATTTTCTTTGCAGATGGCTCAACAATTGACTATAATAAACATAATGCATCATCTTTGATAAATATTTCAAATAATAAAGCTCTCATTGGTGGTGCAATATACGTTCAATCACTGATTAATATACATGAAGCAACATGCTTCATTTCTAAACCACTTGATAATGTTACATTCCAATTCACTAACAACAATGCCACCAGTGGATTTGGACATGATATTTTTGTGTCTACACTTCAAGAGTGTGTTTCATTGTATAAAGAGAATACTTGGACATTATTCACTGATAACAAAATGGGCAAATTCAAATTTTCATCATGGACACCACCTCCAGTTGCTACTGCACCAGTTAAACTGTCAATAAATGAGAAAGAGCTAGTTCCTTATCCTGGAATACCATACAACATGACTATTACACAAATGGATGAGTTTAATAGCAATATAACAAACTTACAGTTATTCCCATTGTCTGCAACACTACTAGAAAATGTACACAATAATTCATCACTGAAGACTGATATAACTTATTCCATTGCTAACAGTTACATAATAGTCTTTAAAGGAACAGTAGGAGATACAACTACTCTATTACTGCAGAAAACTGAGTACAGTGCTAGAAAACTGATCAATATCACACTATATCACTGCCCTCCAGGATACACATTTCAAATCGAT